GTACAATTTATAATTATTGTTGTCAAGTACACGCTTTGGGATATACTTGTAGTATGGTGTATCATGGCATGGTGCTAAACCACAGATCTTGATCTTATTATTATTATTATTATTATTATTATTATTATTATTATTATTATTATTATTAGAACATATGTTCTCCGTGATTCAGTGCAATGTAATTCTGCAATTGAAACTGTAACTATATGAACATTCAGCTAGAAAATTCGAATGTCTCAGAATCATCTGATTCAATTGATCCCACATATCACAACGCGTACCTCAAAGTGTAAACGTGTGTTTCGAAACGAAACTGTGCGATTTTTAAATTCTCCATGACATTAATTATAAAGAATAAAATAACAAAAGCTATTGTAAAGTCCAAGCAAGTTATATTTTTTTGAAATTGTATGCATCTTAGATCTGCATCTGTCATAAGTGAATAGAATAATCTTTGCTAAGCTTTCTAGTTTTCAAATAAAGCTCTTGGGAATTTCAATTGTCACTTTCACAACGGACTTCCATTATAAAAATACTGCCTTGCATACTGTAGAAAGCTGCTGATATTGTCGGTAAATTAATTCCGAATAAATTCAAAAAGAGACGTTTTATTGGAAGGCTACAAACGTTTCTTTAGCTACGAGTACGTCTATTCGCAAGAGAAGAGAGGAGGAACATTTATTAAAAGACATGTTAGAAGATAAAGACCGAGTTAAATAATATTTAAATTTGAAGGAAGTAACATTTTTTCTGGTATTTACATTCTAAGCAAACGAATGTAATTTACCAAAATCCTGCATTAAAACTAGACATATTTTCAATTTTCTTAAAAATGTTATTTTATGCTAATGTCACTGAAAGAACATTTTCTGAGCGATTATAAAACTGGAAAATGGTATAATTCGATCTGTTAATCTTCAAACACACTTTCTTAACTAGTGTGCAAACCTTTGAACTGTCTCAAATTACTATGATTTCATCTCTAGAAAGTTATAGTAGGACTCTCAAAGCTCTAAGGATGTGAATAAAGTTTTCAAAGTTTCGAAAAATGATTTTCACATTCTCGCGTTCTGCTGTTCTCTGAATTTGCAAATTATTTTTCTCTTCTCCATCTCCACAAGGATGAGAAGATCTGCGGTCTTCGATTACCTACCCTTATTCCTCTCTGAAAACTATATCAAGACCTATTTTCTGGCAAGTGTAATGCGAATATCTCACAGAGCAGTAACTGCATCGTGCCGCTCTAGAAACACGAGTAATGTAAGTTCGTCCAAATCGTCCAGTCACTCAGCTAAGGGAAAATGGCGGACGTATTTCCCTATATTAATTTTTATTTTATTCTATTGCCTCTTCTGTTGACCGCGACTGCTATGGAATTCCCCGCCAGCCAGGGCTTTTCCCAACGAGCAGTTGCTTGCTGCTCTTCATGAGGAAGCATGACAAAACAGGTGAGATAGAGATCAAAATGCGAAATATGTGAAAACTTTTCTTCCTAAAGAAAACTTTTCTTCCTTATGTTCAAAAGTTAAATGTTTTCAAACCCACAGGTAGATGGTGAGAAAAACTAATAGGCTAGTAGGCCAATATTTAACAAAATAATTAAGTTTTTTCCGTTCTCTTTCATTTGCATTTCTCAAAAAAAAAAGGCTTCACATCACTTGAAAGCTTGTAATGACAGCATCATTCTCTGCAACTACTGAAAGAATTGAAGTTAATCTAAGGCGAAATGACTAAATGTATTAACAAAAGGAGTAAGATCCAGTTATGTCGTTCCGAAGGTCATTAAGATAATTTGAATTTAGGGATACTTTACAAGAAGGAACTTACTTTCCTTTTGGAAAAGAAAAAAACATTTTCTGAAGAATGGCTGATATATTTTTTCTTGAAATATTGCTCTTGTCTAGAATGAAAATACAATGCTATAGTTCCAATTTTCATTAAAACCTTCGACATTCAGACAATTCCAAAAATCTTTTTATTTAAAACACTGAGGGTTTTTGTTCAGAAAGTTTTAGCTTTCTACTCAATCATTGTAGTGATTTTTCTTTTAAATAGAAGGTAGTGATCTCCATATGTTTCATAGTTTTTAATTATTAATCAGTTTTGTACTATAAAAACACATTTTAATAAAATCATAAAATTAATAGAATGCTCTCATTTGTTTATTATTTCATTGTGTGAGTTGTAATTGATATATTGAAAGCTTTCGTCATTTTCTCTTTGAGAAAACACGTAAGGGAGTTGTCAGAGAAGCTAATACAGCGAGATACCTGGATGAGGAAAACTCGCAAGCCGTCGGGTTGGTGAACATCGGATCACACCATTCAGCGGGGGAAGATCACCGCCACAACTGTGATCAAGAACATGCACTACATTTACGAAACTAATGACCTTAGACATTGACGTGCCCGGAAACGCTAATCAATCAATCATCTTTTCCCGAACAAGACGGTATTTTTCCTGGGAGAAATGCAAGAAATTTGCATGCAAAACGTAGCCGTTGTATCCACCACAGGTTCTCTCCCAATGGAATGGCCTCCCCCCCCCCCCGCCCTTTTTCGTTTTGCGATGAGATTTGCCACACGTGAGAACAAATGAAAAAATTTAATAGCAGCTACGATAATTACTTGCGAAATGTGAATTCTCTTAATGATTTTGCAATGATCCTCTTCAAGTAACAACAAATAATTCCAAAAACCATGTGCTTTTAGTCACTGAATGTGATTACGCTTTATGTCAAGAATATTGTAAGTTATTATGCATTTAAAGAGTAATTCACTTCCTCATTTTTGTTTGTAAATCATTCTTATTGATCATTTTCACTAAAAAATGTTTTTGAATAAATTTCCTATAAATATCTCATTGAATGAAAATAAATATAATAATTTTGTTCTCCCAAAAGTTGATACAATGATAACATTAAAAAAATATTAGAAAATAATTTTCTCTTATGGCATTTCGTTGCATTCTTCGAGAAGAGTACATATAATGTTTTTTAAAATTTAATATTTGATACTGAAAAATAATATATATGTCAGATTTTCCTGCGCGTTTTAATCACTATGGCATGAAATAATGAATCATCAAAATATTTGATATAATATGTTACGTTAAACTGCGAAAGGAGTAAATTACAAACTACTCTTATTTAAATATAGGTACCATTTTCTTTGATGACTAGTACAAATTAATTGTTCATGTCTTCTTTTTCACGCTACTGCAGAGTCTGTAGGCTGCAAACTGCGAACAAGGTGATGACAGAATTATTAAAATACTTACAAGTCTTAATCCTTTGTATTTGCAAAAATTCTATAAAATAGAAAGAACTTGGAAGCCTATGATGTATTCTGGAATATAAAATAATAAAATATATAGAATGCCCTATATATTTCAATCATTCAACAGTTATTTCATTCACTAATCAAAGAAAAAGCTGCTTTTGAAAACTACACATTGCAGATGCTTCTCTATAGTCATTAACATCATTCAAATTAGACTACATATATGTTTAAGTGTTGTATATGGTTCCTGGGCGTTTGCCACACTCTTGAACAGCTCGAAATGTAGAACGTTTTGAGCAGAATGTTGTTAAATTAAATTCTCTATCTTGCTTAACACCGTTCTTCCATATACAAATCCAATCTTCAAGTATGCGTAAACTTAATCACTGCGCCAACAGAACTTTTTTTTCTTAAATATAAACGCGACTTTCGTAAGTTCCCGACAATTTATGTCATCATCTCTCATGCCAGTAAAGTCGTCTTAAATTGGAACATTATAAATCTACATAACTTATTAAAAAGTAAATGATACCTTAATTACGAATATTATTAAATAGTATCAGGTTAAGATAAGCAAGAAACAAATAAAATTATTTCTCACTCAGAATTCAATTTGACTCTCAAAGATACATAGATACTCATTGAATGAATAGCATAATGACCGCTCTTTCTTATCATCTCTCTTTTAAATATCCTCTCCGACTTCATTAAACTAGTTTAATTACTTTCTTACTGGCCTCTTATCCACTTAAAAAAGAAATATTTCGCACTTTTTGATTATCTCTTATTTCGCATTTTCCGGGAGTACACAATGAATGTAATCTATGAAGAACAATGACCCAACACAAGCCAATGTGAACGCCTGGTTTCGAAAAATAATATATATTGTAACACAGACTATAACGACAAAGCATCGGTAATACCACTTGTCAGACTCATATCTCTGAGCAAAGTCAATTCACTTCATGAAAGAATTGCGCTTATAACTTACAAGTTCGTAACTCTAAGCTTTATCCCGTAGTGTGATTTTTATCGCTGTAAAGGATTAGTGGTGGGTTCTCTCTCTCTATGCGAATCCGACGCACCTCGTCGCTCGATTCCGCACTATATCTCCCACCACGTAACACCCGCCTCCGCCGACAGCTCTGCTCCCACCGTCCCGTCGTGTTAGGTAAATTATGTACGTCAGTATGGTAATAATAAGGGGCCGAGAAAGCTAAGAGAAAAACGAAATCACGTGGTTTCGTCGTTCTGATTCTCTCCGCCCATTGCGTTATCGGAAAACGCGAAAACTGCACAGCAGGCCGAATTCTAGTTCTCCTCTACGCGGCTGGAACTCACCTACCTGCAGCTAGCGTCGAAAAATCGCCCCACGGGGCTCAACTCCAGGACCTACCAGCAGTCTAATCAATTCAGCCCCACGAAAGAATCTTGATCCCCGCATCATTGAGTCGCCTGACATCTGTTGATACCTAAGTACTCCTAATATATAGTACAAATAACTCTAAGTCATTAGCATACTTAATGCAAACTATCCCTCTAATCTAAAGTGATGGATTACTCTAAGCGCCTCCCGCTTAGTCCACGTATTGTGCCCATCGCATGACGGGGCAAAGACGCAGGCTAATTGAAGCGAATAATGCGGAAGTCCTAACTATCACCGCTGCATCTGATTGCGTCACGCGTCTTCCTACACTGTCCGCTGGTCGAATGCCCTACATGCACCACCTCCAGGAAATGCCGCTCTTCATAAACTCCTCTATGGAACCACCGCAAGCTATCTACTCTGGGTGACTTAACTACTTCACCAGTCCATAATTCAACTGCAAGAAGCTTTTTAAATAAATAAGTATGAAGGGATAATGCCTTAGAATATCTCTGTTTCTTCATTCACGTATATCATTGGCTCAATCATTCATCATTCATCCTCAAACCCGTCTGCTTTTTCATTATTCTTCATATTCTATCCTTTAATCATATTCTAAATATATTATTGCTCGAAATACATTCCTGTTCTTCTCAATTAAGCCACTGACGTTATCGAGCACACTACTATGAAAGATCGTAATACTCCTTCCAATTATTACCGAGCACTTCTTAATTCCTACAAAACTTGGTTAACAATATCTTGGTTTCGTTGCTTGGGCCGTCGGATGCGGAATAGATACAAACATGCACCCAGAAGCAGTGCTATTAACACATCCGAAGTTTTTATGCATGTCCCGTAACCTAACTACACATGCCAAAAGAAGGATTGTATCCGTAAAGAACTACATACTTCTCCAAATTAACCTCATTATTTTAGGTGATTTATGCCAAACAAGAACGGAATATTTTCGAACATGACATACAATATACATATTATATTAGAAAATAAATAAAAAATACACTCTAACAACACAACATGATCAAATTCCACATACACACCTACCAATTTGTCTTACTTGGGCGACAGCCGCAAACGCTTAGCTGACACTACCCCAGCTCGGACCAGTTCTTAAGGAGACGCGTGTCAACACAAGACATTCAGCGCCCTTTTCTGCCTTCCAAGCAATTTTCTCAATGTCAACTCACAATAATACTGACATTGCAAGAAATGACAACACATTCATCTGCCCCTGGATTGAACGGTCGGTCCTTGGAAACCGAAACCATTATAATCGCGGAGCCCCAGACCCAAAACCTTTCCTCCCTTACCGATCCCTTGTATCATAGTGTAAAATACTATTTCGTAAAAAGTGAAATGTCTATAATTTTAAATTCTATTACAGCCGTCGGTTAAGTTCATTTAAGTCCGACTTCGATATAATCGTTACTGGCCTTATCAGTATCTCTAAAATAAGTTAGATTACGCCAAGATATCATGCCTCAATCCGTGAGAGCCGGATTGTTAGATTTGTCTCTGAAAATTAATCAAGCAGATTTGAAAGAAACCACTCGCCAATTGAGGTTACAACAGCGTATTTTGTAACAGCCATTCTACTACGCACTCATCATCCTATTTTCCACAACACCGCAAAAGCCCCAAGGTTGTCACGTGACAGCTAACTATAACCCCAAAAGAAGTTAATCTGTGGGTATACGGTTGGTCTTGTAGTTAAAGCCAGCATACTGGCCTTCTTTATAATTTTTTGAAGAATTAAAAAGTACTGTAAGCAAGAACCATGAAAATAGACAGCTACAAAATCGCGCACATATGTGGTAAAACTTATTTCATTCTTTCTAAGAAGAAAAACTCTAATTATGCTACACTTCCTTTATGTCTTTCTCAAAAAGTATTAAAATGTTTTCATAATACCCACACCTTACAAGCGATCAGATGCTAGAGAGAAAAACGTATCTTCAAAGATTGATAGCTTATAGCCTATCGGACAATGTATTTAACACAAGAAATAACTATTAAAGTTTTGCACGTTCCTCTCTTCGACTTTTGCATTTTCTCTAACGAACATTCTAAACAGGAGCGTCAGCCACGTTCGATCTACTGAACATGCTATGTAGATGAACACAAGCAATTCACATACAATGGCCCTGTACTAGCAAAGAGATGTGAAGTAATCTCGGTAGAAATGACTCAATCTGTATCAACCACAGAAGGCCCTAGATACGAATCCAGTCCAGGCGCTCTTCCGAAAGAGGTGCATCTCGATGTCGCGCGCTTAAGAAGGCTGCTTATGCAGTAATCAGAGTTAAATACTAAGAGGCGAACTTGTAACATCAAGGAAAGGAATCTTAGCCTTTTCCTTTCCTGGTGAAACGAAAGAGCAATATTATACGAAAAATGAGTCAGCGCAAAGGCTCTGCGCCATTAGTCAGCCCTTTATTCCCGACAATATTGGTTCTCTGAGTCTACTGAACAGTTCCGAAATATATCAATCAACGTGCGTAATAGGATTCCGCATCGAACATTCGTTCAGATAACACACCAAACCGTGATCCAACAGTCCTCAGTCCCACTTCCAGATAAAGATTAGTTAGTATTCTTAGAAAGCATTGAGGTTTTATCACGTCAGAAAAGCGAGCTACAGATGTTTTGAGCCTTCACATGAATCAAATATCTATTTCATTCGCCTAATGTTTTTCGTTCTCTTAAAAAAGGACCGAATAAAGTTGCCATCTCCTCAGTTATCTTCAGTCGCGTTGTGGTAATTATTAAATATTGTACTATAAAAACACATTTTATTATTAAAATCATAAAATTAATAGAGGTGACATTTGACTTCTTGTGATTTATTAATGTGTCAGTGTGTGATTGCTGGCAACATCGACACTGTATCAATAGAGCGTTTTCCGTATTTTCTCTTTGCAAAAAGTACACATCTAAACAGGTGACGAGTGGGTACGTTGCATCAGCATATGCATATCAACCTGTATCGTCTGAGGAGTACGCCTGAGCATTGCGCGCACACGCCGTGAAAACTCAGATGAGCTATGGTGAGTCTCGCACGCGGTAGTCCATTGCGGTACACCCGTCGAGCACACATGCGAGCATTTCTAGCCTCATCCAGGAGCTCGGGGGGAAGAGAGATGTCACCCTCACCAGCCAAACCAGACCCGTAACATCAGTAGGGTCACAAGAAAGAACTCACACCATGTTACGAGAACTACAGCCTTAGACATTGACGTGCCAGAAACGCTAATTCAATCAATCACCCTTTTCCCCGACAAGACGGATTGACCTGAGAAAATGAAGAGAAAGAATTTTCATG